AAGTAAAAGATAATGCCGCAGACCATCTAAAACTTCAAAAGCAATTCTTTGTTTCCCTGTTTGTGGATCCAAACCAACCTGATCATCAGATAAAATACCAAAGAGAGGGTCTGAGTCTTTAAAGAAAGGAGGCCGAGAATTCTTCCTAGGAAGAGAAGTCAGATCTCCTCCACCGTCCAAATCTTCTTGTTTTTTCTGAATAAACAGAGGGCAATTATCTTGTTCCTGTGTTAGTCGTTGGCAAGAAAAACAACGCTTCTGGATCCTTTCGTAGTCATAAAGGATTGAGACAGTAGTACCATCGGGTAAGTTAAACATATTTGCGATCTGTTATGGGACATATTTTTGTCAGTAAAATAAATGTAGTGATAATTAATATTCCGTTTTTTCTTTGCTATTTCAAAAATAAATAAAAAGTTTCCAATGTATATAGCAGCTTTAATGCTACGTCCATTGGTGAGTTAATTATTTCTCACATTTTAATAATCATATTTATATGGGAAGACACCCAATTAAAATGTCCAATAAGAATACGCATATCCCTCTTTTTAGACACTTATATCAAATAATAAAATTAATTATAAAAATGTTTTAGGACATTCATATTAGGTATCACCCATGTTCTAAAAATCGGCCGCCTAACCGCATCGGCGCTGATCGGATAGAGACCGCGGCGATTTTGTCAAAATCGGTGATCCGATTTTTGTCCGTCTAAACGGCGCCTAGGCCAAAATTTTATTTTTTAACATATTTTTTTTTATCTAAAATTCAAAACTTCCCACTTACGTTCATAATTTGTATAAAAATCATAAATTCGACCTTAAATTCTTGTTTTCATGTGTTTAATGCAAAACAAGACTATATAAATTTTTTATTTATAATAGATTAATATGTTTTTAAAATATTAAATAGCCTTAAAATTAGTCCCCGATTAATTTCCGTTTAATCTCCGATTTTCTTGCTAGGCGCTAGGTCCACCCTCATCGTCTGACTAGCACTTAACACTTTTTAAACATGGGATATCATCAATAAAGATGGTTTAAGAATAATTATTAAATATACTTACCAAGAAAAGAAATAATAATTACTAAATATTATAATACAAAGATATATCATCACGTGTAACTTAGCTAAGGGAAAAATAATAATAAAAAGCTGGGTCATCCAAATCCCTTGATAAGAGTTTGAGCACTGTGCATTGTAGTATCCTTTATCTAGTTATCTTTTTGGCATTGTTCAATCTTATCAGATATTGCGGAAAAAAGAAAACGCATAACTCAACTCAATCTTAAATAAAAGTTCGTTAGTTTAGTCAACAAACATCAAAAGCATAAAGAACACGGCACCTCCAACAACAGTAAGAATGACACGCTGGCAGTGGCAGCTAGCACAAATTCCAACCAAACGGCCGCCGGCGTTAGCTTGCCTCTACATAGCCCGGCCCACCGTAAGGTCTTGGATCCAATTCACTTGTCCAGAGATCACATCTTTTAAATTAAACAATAAGATTAGGAGTATGAAATGCACGGCCAAATAGATTAACAAAGCATAGACATTATACACCTTGGATGATCTAGCATAATTAAGAAAATTTCTTAAAGTAATATACTTTTTTATAATTAGCACGACTCTATGTGAATTTTTTTAGTAAATAATAAATATTCTTGCTAGGTAAACACAAACTGTAATTCACGGGGAGTTAAGGACTATAGTGCATGGCTCGAGTATCATTACCAGTTTGGTTTTGTTTCAAGTCTTATGTTGTTGTTTGTGGTGGTTGCATGTTTGAGGACTTTACGGGTTGAAAAAATATATAGTATTTGTTAAAATAAAATAAAAATTAAGAAGATTTTTCTCATTAAGTTTGATTTGCATTACCTTTTTTTGATACTTAAAAAAAAACAAATTAAAAGGCTAAAAAAATTGAAGATATAATAAGGAATATTCGTCTTGATTCGAGTTCAATTACACTACTTAGCAGAGTTCCCCTTGAATTTTTCAATAATAAGAAAGAATTTTCTTGCATACACTTGGAAAAGGGTCAAAGTTCATCTCTTATTTTTATTAATTATTATACATTATTTTATTGAGCCAAATTCAATATTCAAGTTTCTTTTCTTTTTTTGGCAACCAATATACATTATTTCAGTAGACTAAAGTCAATATTGGTGATTGTTGCATCTTGCAAGTATGGGCCAGTGCTTTTGTTTACGAATTCGAGTGATCAAACACAAACACACTTAACGCAAACAAAATGAAAAAAAAAAAGTCAATATTGAAAATTTGAAATGCGTAGAATATGCCTGTTTGAGTCTCAGAAAAAAAAAATAAAAACAAAAAGAAAGAAATACAATAAATTTGTTTTGAAAAATGTATACTATTTAATTGCATGAAAAATGAGGGTGCCATATGGCCCAATATTTGTTCGAACCCCAACAGATAATTTGGAACCTAATTTGAAAAAGCCCATTATAGAAAATTTTGTGGATGAAATTACCCAACACATACACAGGGAGATGGTCCGTACCAACTGATTCCCTTGGAGACATGCAGAGCTGATGCCCACCAACGATCGATGAGATAGTCATTGGTTGCGTTTCTGCCGAGGAGATAAAGACACCATTCTGTCTTTAGTGGGGCATCGATTTAGGACAAATAACCAGGTTAGAAATTTCTGTCTTCAGAGAACCAAATCTCTTTGTGACTTTGTTCCAATTCACTTTCGTTCTTGTGCGTTTATCAGAACCACAGCTGTTAGATATATGAGCTTGGATATGACTCCTACTGTCCAAGGTTAAAATCAAAATTAAATAGCCCTGAAAAAAAATTAAAAAGATCTTGAACTGTATTGGGCTTAATAAGCCCATCGACAGTTCTCACATAGTTTTTTATGTTGTGAAAATATTAAAAACGTGCTTATTTCGTTTCTGTTTGGTTTTATGTTAAGTGATCGGTTTCGTTTAGGGTTTCGGTTTAAAGCTGAACTCATCAGGTTGAAGTTGGTTAGTAAAGGATGTACATAAGTTTATTTGGAAATATCTTATAAGATTTTCTGTGATTATCTTCATAATCTATTAGATTTACACAAATTAAGTTTAATGAGAGTATATATATATATATACATAGGTAGAGCTCGTAAAACCAAAAAGAAACGAAAGAGGTTCTATCTAGTTTCCCTGGTCCTCAAGTTTTAGCTTTAGAAGCTTGAATTTTCGGCTCGGGGGATAGATATGTGGTCGCGTTTTCGTGATTTGGCGGATAAAGCTGATATGCTATATGAAAGAGAAGGAGTATCCAAAGACCGCAAGAGTGTCTCAGAAGAAGAAGAGAAGACGAGGTTCAGTATTTTGGTGGATTACG